CTTTTTTCACTACTCTTGAATCCAGGATTTTGTAGCATAATGAAAGATTTACAAGCAATTTTTAAAAGGCTGGTCATTTTTTACTTGGAATACCAAATTAAAGTATATTCAGTACAGCACAAGGGTTAAAGTTTTGATTTATAGTATTTATTTTAAACTTATATGCTTTTACTTTGCTCATTGGTAATGGGAATCATATTCCATGCAGCAGAAGCTTGACTTTTCTTTGTTGTACATTGATGCTTCTAATGGAAAAGTTCTTTGTTTTCAGTATGATTCTTCTCAGTATTTCCGCTCTTCAATAGCTTCAAGAGGAGGTGAAGGCAGCTTGAGGAGGTCGAGCGAGGCTAATGTGGGAAGAAGTGAAGCGAAATTCTAACAGACACAGGCCACTGCTCTTCCCCTCTGGCAGGACAACTCTCCATAACCCTACACAGACACCACTGCATCCCCCATCACTACCAAACCGACATGCCGCTCTCATCTGGGCCGATTCTATGTGGGTGTCCACTCGTGCGTTAGTCATTGTGAACACAGTGCACAAACCTTTACGGCTTTGTCACTGTAACCTTGCCCCTGCTCTGTTCCTATAAAATGAAAGAAAAGAGAAGAAAATGCAAGGTGTTGAGTGGGAGGAAGTCAAAGAGAGAGAATGAAATGATAGTGGGCGTGAAGAGTGTGGACTATAAAATAAAATAAAAGATGAGAGGAAGTGGTTAATGACCAGCCGATAATAAATAAAGCACATGTTAAATTAAAAGTAAAAAGAAGGAAAAGATGGAAAGAGCGGAAGGGGGAGGAACAGGAAGACAAGCAGTGTGACAAAGAATAGACAAGAAGCACTTTTCATAAATACGCTACAGTTGAGTCTCATTACATTTAAAAAAAAAAACCATTGCTTTGTCATGAGAACTATTAGATGTTGTATATTATGTCACAATTTTAACAATCTATTAAATTAAAGTTGGCAAACTTTAAGTAATTGATCAAATCACCAAAAAAATAATTTTTAGTTTTGTGCTACATTAATTTATGGTGTGCCACATTTTGTGCACAACCTTGTTACCATATGATTTTCTCTTATTACAAAAACTGTAAAATGACTTAAAATCGTGAACACATACAGGAAGTGACATCATTTCTATATTTCTTAAGCAATCCTGTTACGAACAATTTATTAAATAATGTTTATAGCTAAAATGTACAAATATCAGGATTAAATATTGGTAGCAGGCTTGCAAAAAAAGGTTTAGTTGAACATAACACAGTTCATATAATACCTGCATTATGCTTCTTGAAGTTGGCGCTCAACATTTGTAGAAGGTTAAAATGACCAATTGTTGAAAATAAAATAAAAAAATATTTTATTTTTCAGGCTCTATTTGGTATCCTATTCATGGAAGGTGCAAGAAAGATGTGTTGAATGGGAGAGTAGAAGAGACAAAATGTGAGAGAGAAGGTCTGCCGAATAAGGGAAGATGAATTACAGGAATGTGCACGGTGGCTCGGCTCGTTTAGGAGCTAATGTGTCGGGAAGCGGAGGATGGGTGTTAATAAGAAGCCTTATGTGGCTTTCTATGAACTGAAATGCTTCACAGTCCATGGGAACAGAAGAGAGAGAGAAGAGAAGAGAAACACACAAGAGCGAGGCTGCCTGATCTCTGCTGAGTCATACAGACAGAACTTAAAAAGACATGACAAACAATGAAACATTAAAGTACACGTATAGTAAGGTAAGTATAGTTTATTGAACTTGTTCCAGAACAATGGTTTTCAACTGGTGGGTTGTGACCAAAAATTTCTTTTGGTTTTTTTCTGATAGTGTTATGAACAACAAGGAAAAAACCTGATCAATTTAAATCATAGAATGCAAACCATGCAATCATTTAGGGAAGCAAAATAAAAAGGATACTTTAAAGGGGTCATATGATGCTGCTAAAAAGAACATTATTTTGTGTATTTGGTGTAATGAAATGTGTTTATGCGGTTTAAAGTTAAAAAAACACATTATTTTCCACATACTGTACCTTGTTTCTTCTCTATGCCCCGCCTTTCTGAAACGCGTCGATTTTTACAAAGCTCATCGGTCTGAAAAGCGAGGTGTGCTGTGATTGGCCAGCTATCCAGTGCGTTGTGATTGGCCGAATACCTCAAGCGTGAGACGGAAATGTTACGCCCCTCACCATACTGTTGTATTCCCTCAGCGACCAGCACAGATCAGCTCTAGGCATGACGAAGCGGATATCGTCCTCTTGTGGAAGACCAAACAAAGTAGTTTCGCTTTCACAACGAAACACACAGCGTCTTAGGGATATGGCGGCGGCAACAATACTACAGTGAGAATAAAAGTTATGCCTTCTTTCTTTGCATGAACATTTGGGCGTGGGGGCGTGTTTGAACTAGCCGTTTTAGGTAGGTGTGGCTGACTCTTAACTTTTATAAAGAATATCTCTTTGGATTTGAGACTTTAGTCTTTGCAACTTTACAGATCTTCTTTATGCACCAAGAGCTTGTAACACTCCAAAGAGAAAGGAAAAATTGAAATCGCATCATATGACCCCTTTAATTCTAATTTACAAAGGTTGTCTGTTCAATCAACATCTCTCACTTGCTTGAACCTAGCTTGACTCATGGCCTACATGAATAGGTTGCATGACATGCACATGCTATTATTAATGTATTTAGATGTCTGATTTTAAGGACATTTGTGTTTATTTTTGTACTGGTACAGTGTTTTCTATCGCAATAAGCGCTTGCGTTTAGTTAATAAAAATCGAATGTAGTTCTTAATTTGTTTGAGAACTGAGAAAGACCATTCCATTAATAGGCGCGGCGACGTGGCCACATAATAACCACTTCGGGAGTGCATTATTTCTCTAATAATTTTAACGGCCTGGAGTCACAACCACACATCAAGACATTGTTCAGATGATTTGTTTCAAGACATTTGACATGTTTCCATCCTGAAATCTCGTGTGTTTAACTATTTTTTTACGCAAACCTTCGTCATCCCAAACCTTCCGTTGCAAATTCCAAAACGTCATTTTAGAGCTGATAACAGAGGCTTGAGCCATTGATATGCAGGCTAATGCAGTTATTAATGCAGTCTAATGCGGTTATTAGAGAGAGCGAGAGAGAGAGAGAGAGATAGAGCGAAAGACAGAGAGGGAGAGAGAGAGATTAAGCGCATGTGAATACGTGCGTCTGTGCGTCTCTCAACAGCGTTCAGCAGCAGCGTCTACTAATAGCGAATCTTTAAGTTAAACTGCTTCAAGAACCTCGCAACTGAGAAATGTCATGTAGCTTTTCAGCTGCGAAACTATTTAATTGATAAATTCGCGGGGCAGCGCTGACAAAAAGTTTCTGTTCGTGTCTCCACATATGTGCGTGAGTGTACTATGTGTGCATCTGCGATCTGTGCGTGATTTCCATAGCCTACTTAAAAAAGGTGGAAGACATGGAAATAGTTTGTCATTTTTTACCCTATTGTTTGTTATATTTATTTGCTCAATGTCTTCTGGGGTTTTGGTTCTCTTACTGTTGTAGATAGCCCATAGTAGGCTATAACAAAAATATTATATATCTCTTCATTGTGTTTGGGCCCCCCTGGACGAGCGAACATAGGCACGTGCCTAGAATGCCTATGCGTAAATCCAGCCCTGATCATAGAAGTAAAATGGGTTCAAGCTCAGTGTTTGAGCTTAATGAGTCTTTTAGATTTCCTCTATGCACTCTCATGGCTGAAGTCTAACATTCACTGATCATTTAGTATCTCAAGCTGTTGTTCCTCATCTCAAACTATGCAGCACTGAGGCAACATACCAGATTTCACACTCATTGATTGGAGGGCACTCTGTCACATTGGCAATGCTGTGTGGCTCTAGCTATGAATTAATTAATTGTCTCTGTCGGAAAATAGCAAATGTCCTGCAGATCTCAGAGATCCCACATTGTATTACAGAACAATATTGGTGAATGATGAATAAAAGCATCTTCTAAATTGCAGACTATTTCACACTGTGCATCTAAGTTTGTTTTTGTCCACTCATTGTCGATGACTAACACCTCAAATGCTTCTTTCTCAACTGTCCTATCCTAATCAGCAGATATATGATGAGCCATCGATTTTTTCCCAACATCCCACTCTGTCTGTCATCCCTCCTCTCTCCCTCCCTCAACATTGACAGGCTATAATCCCCATATTTTGTCTGAGTATATCACTTCTGCTACATTTGGCTGGGCTAATGCCCCTCTGCGGGGTCTCGTGTGAGGGCTGGGAGAGGAGCAGGTCCCTCTCTGGCCATAGAGCTGCGAGTGCTATTACGCCATCACTTTGCATTTAGATAACTGCCAGCACACCTAGTAAATCAGGCCGTGTGCATCCATGTCAGTCTTTCCAGCTGTAGGGTACTGGGGTGGGGAGGGGTGTCTCCACCTGACTGAAGCCCTCCATCAAAATCAGCATCTAGATCCACTCTTCAGTTTCTCTATTAGACACACATATATTGATAGGCTGGTAAGTTCAGGCAGAAAATCCAGTCATGCACGTGTAAATGGGAAATTTAGATTTATTCAGAAACTTGCATGAAACGTATGATTGATTGGGATCTTTGTTCTCAGGAGAAACATCTGTAGACCAATGATGAGAAAGCTTTGATTTCACATTGAAATCTATTTGACCATATCTGAGCAAGTTTGAAGCATTGTTTAGATTTTTTTCTGATACTTTATAGGAGACGTATGTTTGATTACCATTTTTTTTCTTTTTCAGTTGAAATATCTGAGAAGCAATGATGAGAGACATGCATACTAATAAAAGTCGCTCCTCCAAACACATGGCAAAAATTCTCGTTAGATAAGGTTCCAGAAATAACAACATACTACTGCAAGGACAAAGAAAGTCATGAGAACTGACAGGCAATGGGACTCTCTCTCTCTTCCTCTTACCCTTTCTTTCTGTTCCTGTCTCTTCCTCTCGTTCTTGCTTTCAGGGATAGATGCTCCCCGAGGGCTTCGCCAGCCCTCCTTTCTCCTCACGCATTTACACCACTGCACTGATGCATGCTGGAATTGATAACACGGACACCTTCTCTTATCTTGCCTTACCGTAGTCTTTTGAGTAGGAGTCCTTTGTTACCGAACTGGCAAGGAGCAAAGGAATGTCACAGGTCTGTATGCGCTACCAGAAAGTTGAAAGTTCTGGCTGCTAGCTAGGAAAAATATTTAGTACAATACAGAAGATTCAGTTGTTCTCAGTTGATCTAAACTAAAATGTAAAAACTATGTTCTGTCATTTATTAGACCCAAATGCGTTTTTAAGATGCTTTCACCAAATGTTTGACAGCTGCTGGCCTGATGAATTTGATCGATGATGTGTTGGTGAGTATGTGCATCTTAAACCATTATTATTCTTAATGCATCCAGCCCTCTTTCTCTCTCTGTATTTATAGCATAACAATGTCTCTGTCACAACTCAATAATTCATTTCTGTTCATCAGAAACCAGTACAAGGTTGTTGCTGAGGGGACGGGTGTTGCTGCCGTGGTGACAGTAAGAAGCAATGCATTGCGCTGATAGATGGCCGAGAGAAACAGGAAGCAGTGGCCAACTCCTGCAGACACTAGGAACGCTTCATGGTCCAGTGATGAATTGCAAATAGAGGATCAGAGTCTGGCACATGAAAGTGATTGAGAGGAGGGAAGGAGGGGGAAAGAGACAAAGAGAGTGAGAGAGATTCCCTTTATGCTCACTGTGTCAGGCCTCAGTCTTTGACTTCGGTCTGGACTAATGATCGGTCTGATATGGGCAAGTAATTGGTGTCTAGGGATGTTAGACTACAATGTCTTATACATAACGTAATAGGCAGCCCAGTATAGGCTGCAATATTTAGTCAGGAAGGAGATGCACGCATACCGTGAAAGGCAATTAAAACTAAGGGAGTGACATTCGGGTGATGCACTGCCCAATTACGAGGGCAGGACTGGGCAAGCAATTACAATCGTTTTTGGCAGAAGCATATGTAGTTTTATTCTCTGCTTAAGTTTGATGATGAGATGGCTTGTGTTTTGTACAAATATTAAAAGTAATGACTCATGAACTAATATCTGAAGCTGTTGACTTTATCATCTTAGTGTAGAGGTTAAAATGGTTGCAGTCTACAACCCTTCTCTAAGCCCTGCCTTTAAAACATTACTGACCAGACTTAACTGTTGCCACCCACCAATTCACAGGTAAACTTTTGCTCGTTTCAAATGTCAGATCCTCCATCTGTGTGTTTGATGCAACCAAGGAGTGGAGCTTAGTGAAGGGTCAGTTGACGGGAATGTTCACACAGTTCGATTCAAGACTCCATTAAATTTCACCCAAAATAAAAATTCTGTCATCATTTACTTACCATCTAAACCTGGCCCAAAAACAACAACACTGAGACAAAATATCTTATTTTGTGTTGCATAGATAAATAAAGCTAAACAGCTTTGGAACAACATGAAATTGAGTAAATTATGACATAATTAAACATTTTTGGTGAACTGCCTCTAAGAACTGCATTTTTTTAGTTGTTCATATAAACTGCATTCGAACCGCTTATGTAAACTGCATGAACTGGACAATTTGAGAGTCACATCTACAGTTGTGAATCCCAAATTCTGACTGTATGAATGCAGCCACTGTATTCATATATGCGATTATATTGCAAAGCAAGGTCATTTGTTGTATGTGCTGACCGTCTAAATTTGAGACTTTTCATCAAATATTATTGTAACATCATCAGCATGTCTTCGAGTTGCATTACATGCTTTATTCCTAGCTTCCGTATCAATAATATTGACTTTCATGTGAAGAGCAGGAAATGTAGAAAAAAATCATATATACTGTATGAAATGAGCTATTTATATACTGTATGAAGTTTGATTTATCGTTTTTACATAATGACTTAATGCTCAGTGTAAAGATGGACATCAAGGCTCTGTACATCACAAATGTAATATACATCCAATAGACAAACACACTTAGTCTAAAGTCTAATTACCCAGCCAGGGAAAAACAAAACTAAACTTACTTCTGGATGCAGACACCAGACAGTGTCCCCAGACCCACGCTCCTTTGCTCTCTGTCCCTTACTGTCCTTTCTCCAATCATTTAGTGAGTTAGACAGACCTAATTCATACAGAACTGCAGCATGAGCAAAAAAGTAAAAGTGTGTCTGTGATGCTCCACATGATCAAAAAAAAAAAGCGTTAAAGAATAGAGGGAAAAAAACACACTCTGTTTCCGCCGGTTCCTCCTACTTGCCCCAGCCGCACATCACAGGGGTACAGAAGCAGCCAGTCCTTTCACTTCTTTTTGATTTGTGCCGGAGAAAAATAAAGTGTTTGTCCCTAATTAGCTTCCCCTGCTCCCTCTTCCACACAAGATTTTAATTATGATTGGGTGTTGCGGTGGATGTGAAAGAGATGCATGGCTGACATCAAGGCGGTGCTGGCCAGGAGAGATACGCCATGAGCCCCGCAAGCAGTCTAGCATTGTATGGAAGTGCTTCTTGGTGGAACAATGTCCTGCAAGGAAATGTGTGGAAACTGGAGGCAAAGAGCAGGGAGCAACCTACAGCTGTGTGTTTGCAAAAGCAACAGCCATCACAGCAGGCCTCCGAATCCATGTTTCTCTAAAAGGTTTTGAAAATGTGACTGGGGAGGCTCTGTTACAGCCCACATACTGGACCTGTATGTATACGGCTACGAATATAAGCTGGGAAGTGGGAACATTCTTGTATTAATTTGCAGGGGGATGTATGTTAGGGATAAATGAGAAAATGACTAATATCCCTGCAATCACCACCTGCTTCACCAAAACACCAGGAGTGAGAGAGAAAAGTTTTAGACCTAATCAAACTTTCTTAATGCCAGTGACCTTGCAAACATCCCCAGGGAGGAGTGGCACACTTACATTCAGAGCACTTTGTTTTTAAGATGCAAGGCCAACTACTGAATGACCTGAGTCATCCTGCACCTGCCTCTAGAAGCATCTGACCAACACCTGTAGAAGCTCTCAGAGTCTTTCAATTTCATTCGTTCTCTCAGCATGTTCTTGTGAATTAGTCAGTGGCAGTTTTGAGTGACACGGAATGATGATGTACATTTTGTGGTGGTATTAGTATTGCAAGCCAAACGTTTGACTATTGGTTTAAAGTCTGAGGCTTGCTATAGCTTATTCTGGGCATGAATGTCAACTTAGCAGTTGTCTGATTAAAACTTGACAATAACAGTTGTTATTTTTGTTATGTATATGGGCAGACACAACTAAAATCAATGCTATTTCACAAATAAACTAGCATGCAAAAAAGTGGATCTATAAAAGGTTGTACAGACAATACCAAAGAAATCAGTAGGAAATGTGTGTAGACGTTGTGGTCAGAATTTCCTTCCACCTAAAAACAAAATCGCTGAGCATTTCATGAACATTTCATGGAAGTCAACATTTAAAGTTATCTAGTTAAAAATTACAGTTACAGTATAAGACATTTTCTTAAATTTAAATGAATTTGTTTTCCACCAGTCAATAGCAACAAACTTGTTCACATTTAGTCCTCAGTACCTTCACCTTTAGCAGATCAATGGACGATTGAGACTCAAAACACTTCAGCCTGATGCTCAAGGATTTTGTCATTTTTCTCGCCCTGCCAGATTCCGCTGTGCTTTGTTTTGCTGACATGAAAAATGTGCTTGCCTAAAACATTCACAAATCTCCTCATTTGTGAAATGGTCACTGGCCTATTATATTGTCACCGACACACTATACTGTATGTACTTGTCACTGTTTTGGTCAGACAGCATCTTAGAAGGACAAAATAAGGGCAGGCATTTGTTGTAAACAGCTTGAAGTATATGTCCAGTGAAGCCATCAGTGACGATGTACCAGAAAAGCCTCACATCACTGCAAAATTGTCTACAGAAATACAACACTGCAAACCAGTGTTATAAAGGTTGGAGTAGAATTTCAGCTGAAGTTTATTTTAGTCTAAGTTTTGACTGTTCTGACAGCCTTGTTTGTGCATTCAGACTTCGTCTTCAGTCTAGCACTGGATTTGTCGGTGGGTGTGCAAGTTTGATCCTGAATCCACAGTGTTTATCAGAGAAGCTATGGTTTCTTTCTGAGGAGGGTTATGTGTGCAGTAGGATGATGGGATTGTAAAGCTCAACGGGTGGTCAAATACATTCTAACATGGTTTTTGTCTATCACTGGTCAAACAAGAACCTAACCTCACCGTAATCTAAGGATTTATAATACCACATAAAGTAAATATAGGATGGATACCATCTTTTTGGCAAAGTATTGTTTTTTTAATGATTTTTTTTTATGATGTTTTATATGGCTGTGCTCTGGTCTGGTCACACATTTCTTAGTTTTCAATTAGTGAGCAAGGTTAAGGGAACAAAGTTTGAGTATTTTCAAAATTCAGATGACAACTGTCAATTTTCCGTTTGAATATAGTCCTACTGCAGATTCTCTATATTTATTCTTCTATATTCTGCATTTTATGTCAGCCTCCACAGTAAAATGTCGAACTCGAATGTATGCACATTTCTGATGTCTCTTTAAAAATGCATGGGTAGAAATCCCCTAAAAACACAGTGTTGGAGATACTCGGGGTGTGGTAGCACATTTTATTTCAAGGAACAATATGTAACTCTTACATGTTTAATAAAATGTATATAATATTCACATATTTGTCTGCTACAAATTAGAAATAAACTACTACAACCCTATAATAAATGCCTTCTCTTTTAAAGGAGTTAAGGCTCTTGAATGCATATTCTGCATATACACAATGATTAAATGTCTTGCACGTTGCATATTGTAATTTGTTGCTAGAAACTAGAAACTTGTATAAACATGATTTTATTATTATTATTATTATTGTGAAATGTCTGTTATATGCAGTGTTGGGGAAAGTTACTTTTAAAAGTAATGCATTACAATATTGCGTTACTCCATAAAAAAGTAACTAATTACATTACTTAGTTACTTTTTATGGAAAGTAATGTGTTACGTTACTTTTGCGTTACTTTTTAAATCTGGACAGGGCTTGCTTGTTTGTTTTTAAAATAAAAAAGTTCTATTTTTGGCAAATTCACCAAAAGTGAAATGAATAAGCCTCAGGCTGAAGGGAAAGTAAATTTACGTCCGTACAGTAGAATGCAGAAGAAGAAATTTCAACACACTTCAGCAATAAAAAAAACACACAAATGTTTGTCTAGAGTAATTTTAGCTTATTAGTATGGTTGAACTGGATCATCGAAGGTCAGAAGCAAAGACATCGGTTAATAGTGTCACGAATCCAGTCCGTGGCCTTCCGGCCGATTGTCACTAGAGGTCACTGCGTTACTTTACTAGTTACTTGAAAAAAGTAATCTGATTACGTAACTCGCGTTACTTGTAATGCGTTACCCCCAACACTGGTTATATGTAAATTTATATACAAAAAGTGATACATAATGACTTGTCATGTTTTACTGAAGTACAAAACGAAACTGATCACAATGGAGAACATTTCGACAGTGTACGGTTGCTATGGTTACATCCTCTCGCCAACGTGACTACTGTTCGTCAAGGTCTATTCGGTGGCAGGTGAAAAACGTGCCCTTGTTTTTTTTTTTTATCATTACAAACGTTTAAAAAATCCTGCTGAAACCTATACTTGTTCAAAATAATTACTGTAGGCCTACAACCCACATTTCATGTTTAACATGATTATTATAAAATACACATAAGCCTATAGGAAATATTTCACTCTTTTGGCTAATTTCTAATTGTTTAAACCAATTAGAATAATGATGGTATTACAACTCACCCGTTGTTACAGTATTCATCTAAAACTATTTATGCATATCCTCTACTGTATGCTTGGCTGACAAACACAAACGACAAACAAATAGTCGTCTGTGTGATTGTAATAAATGTGCTTATATACATCGACAGGTGGTGCAACGGACCGGTACTCGGGACTACAGACTAACTGTATATTTCACCATACAGGCTCCAGCGCGCTCAATATCGCCGCCTGGCCGCGACGCGAGATGTATGTATCAGGCAGCGCGTT